CAATGTATAGCAAAAGCTAATGCAAGGACTAGTCAGATTTAATGGCAGTCTTTTGCCCTTATGCAGACTTAAATCCAATAAAAGTGATAGGATTACTGTGTTGGAGCATGGGATTAAATAGCAACATGCTGTTATTCCAGAAAGGCTGATGATAAACATCCTTCTTTATTATTCCTATGGTAATAAGTTATTTGCTGCCAATAGAAAGGACAAGAGGTAAGACTTGTTCCAAAAACCATGAAACTGTGGAAATGTTTGGGGTTTTAAAAGAAAGACTGAATGACTACCTTGCCAATTTGGTTCCTTTGGGAGAGAGAGGGTGTGTCTCTGTGTATTGGTGCAAGATAGAATCATAAAGGATAACTAAACCAGAGTGTTGAAATTCCACCAGATTTTGCCCTACAGTGCGTGGGGTCACATAAAGGATTGAAAAAGTGTTGCAGTGTTGAATTGAAATAAGCACTGATTTGAATTGAAATAAACATTCTTACTTTGTGGAAATCTCTAAAGAGACCATGGAGGAATTGTTCGTGTTTACAAACCCAGGTGTCTACCAGATCTGGTAATTAAGTTGTCTTCCTTCTTAATAGAACTATGAGACAACAATGGTCTGCTGCTTTGTAAGCAACAGGCATTGAAGAGATCTTTTGCCATATCATCCGTTCTTCCTGCCAATGCTCTGTACCGTTTTAGTGACTTTGAAGGACACTGTGATCATTTTTATTTCTCTAAAGCATATTCTAAAGTGCTTCCCCTTTGAAGAGAATAAGGAACCCACTTAAAATTTCACTCATGTACCAAATGTGTAATTAGGAATGTGTCTCAAACTTCTTAAAAAAGTAATCATAGCTCCATTGATTCATGAAAATAGCCATGCTATTGAACTTGATTTCAGTTATGGTTCCAATCTGCAGGGGAGGAGGTTTGGGACAGAAAGATGGGGAAAAAAATGAAAAAGGAGTGAATGGAGACTAAGTTGAAATATTTAATAAAGGAATTTGATGTCTGAAATCCATCCTCAGCCACGAAAGCTCCCTGGGTCTTTTGGACTGCACCTTATCTCTGCCCAGCCTATCACACAGTGTTGTTATTGGGGAAAAATTAGACACAATAAATAATATTAATAATTAATTGATTATTTTAAATCAATTAACTATTGGAATAAATTAAGACAGTTCACAGCATTTTTCAAAAATGGAAGAAGGGTATATTTCTCTCCTTCCTTTTTTCTTTTAGTAAACAATTCCAGTTAACAGAGCAAACTACATACAGAGTAAGACTTAATCTGATGATTTTATACAATTAAAGGATTTTCTCTCCTTCCCTCAGCTGTAACCTTAGCACTACTGAATTATCTACTGACACTGCAGGAAACAGCCCAGTCTAAGAGACACAACTACAAAGGTTTTCCATCTGTAGTCTCCACATGGACCATTAGACTTAACAACATATTAGAAAGATACAACAGGATGAACTGGAAGTTTAGAATCTTCCTTTAAAAAAAATCCTGCCCTTTGCACTGCAAAATAAGTGAATGCATATGGCTTCTGCAGAAAAATGCTTTAAAATTGGGCAAGTCAGAGTTATACCTCTACGTTTTCTTGGTCAAGTGAATTTGGAATAAGAATTCACAAGACTATTCCCTCAAGCTAAAATATCAAACAAGCATTTTGATGCCGATGTCCTTTCTAGCACTAGAGATGGATTGTCATCCAGTTCTTAGCACGATAGGAACGATTGACATGGCTGCTCAGTGATTTATATAAAGTGATGCATCAATGATATGCAGATGTAGTTACTTAGAACAAAAATGGCATCCCTGGGATGGCAGAAAGGAGTCTTTTATTTGTGGCTGTCTAGTCATTATTTGAATAACCCAGAATGTACAGTTATGGTAGTAATATGCTGTTGGATTTGGGGTATTGGCGATGACTGAAATAAGATTTAATTCCAGTGCTATCTTCATGAGGGAATCTGTGTACCCTAGTACCTTCTATCCTGCTGGAATCTAAAAATCCCTGTTTTGACACTCCCAGAGTCAAGACAAAAGCAGGGGAACCACAAATTCTACTATTGCCAAAAAGGAGTATAGTACTTAGTTAACTGTTAAAGAGGTAAAATTAAAGGCAGCAGGCTTTTAGTGATCACAAGAGTGAATACATGGTAGGTAGAGCTGCTTGTGTGATAATTCATAGCAATAGAGGGCAGCAGATTGAAAGAGAATTTGTCGTTTCCCTTCCCCTGGTTTTTCAATAAAAATAGCTTATAAGAAGTAGCTTTTTTAACATAAAAACAATCATTTAATTTGGACCAAGAGTTAATCTGGAGCGGCACAGTGCAGTTTAACACCACTGAGACTATTATGGAAAGAATTAAGAACTGACTGAAACTCGCCCTGATCCAGTCTTGTTCAAATCCTATTCATTGTAACAAGGCTTCATAGGGTAGTTGTGCTTTGTTGCTCTGTTATAGAATTTGGAAATCTGTTTTGCACAACAATAACTGTGCCAAATTTCAGTTCGAGATATAGTATAATAAATCAGCAGTGAAGTCCTTGGACAGATTTTATGATTTTTAACAATATTATTACCTCAATAAATAACAGCAGTTGCGTAAAATATATGTATTTGTGAGGAAGAAGAACGGAGAAACCCTAAGTGGCAATTTCTGATTTTGTGCTGGAACAAACAACTTATTAATCACTGGAGTTTGCCATTAAACTGTGTTCTATTGACAGACTTTCATCTCCCGTTTTCCTGTCCTTGAAGGTGATAAATATGATTGCTCCGTTATCCATTTTTATTTTGAATGACAGAGGCTTCACAGACTTTGGCTGTGTGTCAGCTGTTGGATGACTGCCATCCACTAATGCAGGCCTCCCATGGAGAGCCCAGTGAAGAATTAGACTCTGATTCACTTGATTGTGTTAAATAGTCCAGCTGTTGAGATTTGAAAGATAGTTACCTCCAAAGTGAAATAAAAAGGACCTTGGCATTTATGGCTTTGTCCATTTTGATAGTGTTGTGGCAATCAGCATTTTGGAGGTAGCATTTTCTAAAATAACTGCCTTGTCGTCATGTCATTTCCAAACTTTCATTCACTATAACGTTAAACATATTTCTCTTTCCACTTTCAGGAGAAACAAAAAACAAGGCTAAATGCTCTGCACAATTTGGGTCTGAACAATTGCAGATTGGAAATGCTAACTGGACCTGTCAGAGGCCAGTTCCTGAACTAATTAGTCTCACACTCTAGTGTTAGATGGCAGGGTGTATAGTGTGAATCATGAATATTAACTGAAGAGAAATAACATTTTTGCTGTTCATGAAATTCTCATTTTTATTGAAGAAACTTGCTCCTGTAATACAGAATTCATCATGGAAATCAGCAGGACTTCACTTAGCATGACACACTGCAAGATTTTATTGTTCTAAGTGAATAAAAACACATCACTTTATTCTACCTGGCTTGTGGAACCAATGCCAAAAATCCTTACACATTTACTATTGCATTATGCCATGTAATAATCTCTGCCTAGATCTTCAAAATAAAATTGCAAATTAGCTGGTCTTTAAATGGTTCTTAAAATATTTAGAATGTTGCCATTGGAATTGGTAAATAATGCATAGATGTCTGTAATCCAGAACATACTTGGCTGTTCAGTATTCTGTTTAAGAAAGAATCCTCAGACCACCTTCCAAGGCATAATAGATAATAAATACTTTGCCATGAGAGGTGAAATCTGCCTCCATCCTTCTGCCTTCTGGAAGGGTCTTAAAACCTGACTCTGCTGCTTGGCTTGGGGCCCCGATGGGAGTGCGCTATGCTAGAGATGGCTAGTAGAGAGACAAAAACCCACTTGTAACCTTGGTTTTCACCCTTTATTAAATTGTTGCTAGTTTTGATCCTTTTATACCACTGTAAGCCTTCCTGAGTCACTTTGGATAGCAAGGTGAGTGGCATATAAATGTAATAAATAATTAAAATCAATCAATCAATCCATTTAAAAATCACAACCATGACTTCAAAGCAGATAATGTTCAAACTATAGAAAGTAAGTTAATAAACACATTTGCACCTGATGCATTGATTTATTTATTAAATTTATATGCTGCCATCTCCCTGATATGGTGACTACTTAATTCTGTCAATAGAAGAATGTCAATTATAGAAGGGCATGTCAATGACAGTGTTTAATATGCTAAAGTGTTCAACTGTCATTAAACCATCTTTTTATTTAAGATGATACTTAAAGTGAGATGTTTCTTCTGGGAAAAAAAAAAGACTAACCGAATACTTCCAATTTTAGTCCAGCTATTTTTAAGTTAACATTATAACCAGTACTCCTGCCAACTCATGGATGGTTTACTATATATTTGCATTTTACCGACTTGGCTTTTACTAAGAGGAAATTCATAGGCAGTACTATCTTTGTTAGGTGCTAGGAAAAAATGATCTTAGACGGTTGGTTGTATTCACTGATTTCATTTACAGGAAGTAGCGATAGCTATTGAATGGTTGAACTTTGTTGTAATTTTGCATCCTCACAGTAAACTATCATTTCTTATACTGTGTTAATAAATGTTTGAGATGGTGCCGACATTATGTTCAGTTTTTCAGCTTAGATCAAAATTGTGTGAGAAGGCAATTATTATGGGTGTGCGGCAGTAGTGGTTTTCACTTACCTTCGCTACTGGTTTGGGACTGTGAACTCGCGGGTGGCGCTTCTGCACACGCACAGAACCTTTCTGCGCATGCGCAGAGCGTCTGTGATGATGTCTGGGCGGATGGGCGGAGCCTCCCGCCGCTGCCACAACTGGTTCACCTGAACCGAGGCGAACGGGTAGAAATCCACTACTGGTGTGCAGTATGAAAGTCAGGCTCATAAACTGTGGTAGAATATCAAGCACGTGCTAAAACTGTAACTAACTGGTTGATTGTTGTTTATATATTTTTAAAATCATGTAGTATTCCCTTTGTTTTTTTAATTTGCCTTTTAGGTCATCCAGCAATGCAGGATTTAAAAACAAGATTGTTGACGCAGACAAGCAAGCTGAATTCATGGTACTATTCAATCCAGAGAAAATCAAAGAACAAATGCCTAAAGTTATGGATCAAGGCAAGATAACTGAAAACAAGGGTCAACAGCTTCATAAAGACACTAGTACTGAGAAAACAAAAGAGAGCGACAGCTCTCTCTGTTAATTGATGTGCTGAAAGGCATTGACTATTTCTGGAACTCTGTTTTCAATGATTGTCAGTTGTTTTGTTTATGAATATGGGAAAGGGCTATATTTTTTACTCATAATGTGTTTATATCGAATCCAAAGTCTTTACACCTCTTTCCCCTGTTTTTTCTTCTAAATTATTATATGGTGTTCACTTACTAGATTATGCAAAATGTTAAGATTTATTTGAATAATATTATTTTATATAAGTACTTTGTTTATAGTTTGACCAAAAAGCCTGCTAATTTAATTTAATATAATTTAAATAAATAAAACAAGCCTTAATTAAGAAATACATGACATGCTCTTATATGACTGACAGCCAGAAATCATTTTTTAGTTAATAGAAGATACAATTTTTCAGAGCCATTCTTTAAAATCTTATTAAAACTTGTGGCCTGCCACTACAAAGTAAAAATGATAATTGTGTAATCTGGAATAGTAATGGTAATAGATTCTACTGAAGTTGAAGGAATTTTTGAGTAAACAATATTTTAACTGCATAAAAGTTAAAATAAATACCCTCTGCCTGGCACAGTTTTCCAGGAAAATAATGGCCATTGGAATTTGTATCTTATTGTTATGGTTGGTCACACAGTCATTCAGATGTTTAGAGTGGATTTGGCATTTTTGTTCACCTAGTGAATTCTTCCCAAGGACCTGGAATAGAAGATATTGTTTAATAATATTAAGGGTATATTATTATATACACAACAATGTGGAATCAGTATCAGGTCTTTATTATTATAAATATAATAACATAGTATATTAAATTATTATTGTTCGTTGCACAGCCCACCAGATGTTTAGATTGGATTTGGCATTTTTACCTATGTATCGAGTCCTTCTCAAGGACCTGGGATAGGGAGCTGTTATTTGATGGTGTTAAAGATATTGTTGTAGGATGTAAGCTGTTCCGAGTGAAGTTGCCTTTTAACCGATGGTGATTTTGTTAATGCCAGTGGTGTTCAAATGATGTTCCAGTTGTTTTGAGATTGCACCCAAAAAGCATTACTGTTGGTACTACCATTGCTTTCTTGGGCTGCAGATGTTTTATTTTCAGGTATTTCTATTTTGTTATCTTCTCCCAGTTATTTCTCTTCTATTCTACATGTCTGCAAGTACTGCCACATCCACTATCCAGACTATTTTGTTTTTATTATTTATTTTATTTATTTATTTTATTTGATTTCTATACCGCCCTATTCCCGAAGGACTCAGGGCGGTGCACAGCCAAACAATAAAACACATACATACAAAATTTAAAAGTAGGATAAAATCAAATTAAATAATTTTGGCCCTGACAAATTTAAAACCCCAAACTTTTAAAACCAATTTAAAATTGAATGTATAAAATACTAAAAGATATTTAAAAATTAAAAATCTTTTATAAAAGAGGGAGAAAATTAGGCCAGGCCCGCCTGGTGAAATAGTAAGGTCTTTAAAGCGCAGCGGAAGGTGCGCAGATCCGGGATCCTCCGTATCTCTGGGGGGAGCTCGTTCCAGATAGTAGGTGCCCCCACAGAGAAGGCTCTCCCCCTGGGGGCCGCCAGTCGGCATTGTTTGGCTGACGGCACCCGGAGGAGCCCCTCTCTATGGGAGCGTACCGGCTGGTGGGAGGCTATTGGTGGTAGTAGGCGGTCCCACAAGTACCCAGGTCCTAAGCCATCAACAGTTATCAACAGTTATTAAATTTGGAGTGTGATTATTATTAACTTTTTCCTCTGAAAGCAATAGTAGTAGATGAGTAGTCAGTTCGAAAACAATCCTATTTTTTTTTACCAGTTTGGGGCAGAGGGTTTATATTAGATTTTTTAAAATTAGATTATGATTATGATTCCACCTTTATTACTTTGTAAATAAAGCAGTGAACATACATAACGCTTCTTCTTCCTCGTATTTTCACCACAACATAAATCTCATTAGGTGTGTTGGGCTGAGAGAGAATGATTGACCCAAGGTGACCCAGCCAGTTTTTCATGCCTAAGTAGGTGCCTTAGCAGCTACCTGCTTAGAAGCAGGTGTTCTAGCCTGGTGCCTTAAGCACTAGATGAAACTGGCCCTTATAACCTTTGTATCTAAAGCTCTTCCTAAATATCCCCTACTTAACCACATGAAGTCTTTTCTGGGAAGGCATGCTAATTGTTGGATTTCCAAGCCATGCAAAAAGGACTGTTCCAGAGCCCACCGAATTATTGCTAGCATTTTAATAAATGCATTGTGGCATTTAGGAACAACAGTACTTTGAAGAAGAAACATATTTCTGTGATCTTTATATATAAATATGTTGTAACAGGGAGCCCAATAAAGGAGACATTATCTTGTATGAAAGACAGAAGAAAATGCCATGTCTAAGAAGTGCCTACTTTCTACCTGAATTTTTACATTATGGCATCTTTTACATAACAATAATTAACATATCCAGTTAACTGGTTTACAGAAATAGGTACGGACTTCAATGAATCCTCATTCTAAACTGGTATAGGATTTCAGGCTATATATTATAGGCAGAATGAAATGGAAGCATTTCAGATCCAAATACTGTGTATCTCTAAAATAGATTAAGTATGTGAGTACAAAACAAAATATGAGTCTTCTATAGGAAACAACAGGATGTGATACAGGAAAATGGCAGCAAAGGGACAGCAACTGAATGTGGGGGTTGAAGGACAGCATGAAATCTTGAATCATAGTTTTATAACTATGAATTAGGCTTTATATTAGCCCACTGGGAAAGAATAAATGGGATGAGGTGAGGCACTTAATCAAACTGGGAAACCTTTAGAGCTTTTTATATACAAGATAGTCATCTTCTATAATAGACTTCCGTTAAGAATTTAGACTTAGTTTTTGAGTTACTCAATCCTTAACTTTCACCAGAGAAGGCCTCTTCTAAGAAAAGCAGCAGGAATCATAGAACTACGCAATTTATATGGCATTTCAGAGTAGCTGAAATATTTCTCATATTAGAAAAAGTGGCTCTGATTGCTCATCTGGAAAATGGCATGAGGAAGGGAATACAGTATACAGTTTCTTGCACATTTGTTTTCCCACCTTTTATACAGTCTAGAGCAGAAATGTCCAACCTTGGCAATTTTAAGACCTGTGGACTTCAACTCTCAGAATTCTCCAGCCAGTCATGCTGGTTGAGGAACTCTGGGATTTAAAGTCCACAAGTCTTAAAGCTGCCAGGATTGGGTATCCCTGCTTTAAACCTTATATCTAGTTGCAGAAAAAAAAATGCTATAAATGCATATTTAATATCGGACTCTATTCATTAGTACTTTTTGGTTGGTATTGAACTGAGGCTAAAATCTAGGGGTTTTTATACGAATGCTATGCTCCGTGGTGTTCAGCAATTTTTTGCAATCAGTAAATAAACTTGTTTTGCAATTTTGAGATAACTTGAGAAAATTACATGGCATTTATTCCTTATGTGTTTGTGGTTACTGTTTTTGACTAAACAGACTCCCGGTTATGTCTTGTTGATTTTGTCAAGTACTTCCCAGCAATATGAGATGCTATTTTAAATGGCTTGCTTGGACAGTGATGTTTGATTTCAATCCTTGTACATGGCCAAATACTGTTACTTGGGATTGAATTTATAGTTAGATAACACCATCCTGTGTAGCTTTGTATATGTGTTGTATGTTTGCATATGCATATGCGTGTATGTATGTGTGCCTTGCTCTGTTTCTACAATATAATATTAAAATATATCAGTAATACACCTCCACATGAATTTCTACTTATAGTACTATTTCAGGATATGATATGGAGGCTATGGAATATGTATTGGCCAAATGATGTTTACCTGGTCATCAGCAAGCTCTCTGAGAACAGTCAATCTTCTAGCTCAGGAGATGCATTAAATATGGCACCATATAGAATGCAGTGAATTCAGGAAAAAGACAAAATAGCTGATTTACTACATTTGGTCATCATTAATTTTTTAAAAGAAACATCAATAAATATGCAATGGGCTACCTTGAGTACAAATTTACAGTTTACTCATGTTTCTAAACTATACATTTCCAATATAGGTGACAATTGTGATGAAACCTCAGCAGTTTGCAGTTTAATATTGGTTTGAGTGCACTGTTATGAACTTTCTGATAGGAAATCACAATTAGTAGTGAGGACTAAGATTGAATCTAATTTATTAGTTTGACTTGATCAGTACGTGTTTAATGCTTGTCTTAAAAAGTAAATCATAAAGTTATGTATAGACTTCCATTTGGAATTAAATTCCATGAAAATCAGATGGGCTTTTTCCTGAATACATTCTTCAGGAAAAATGCATAATTCATTGGATGGCATTATTAATGGGGTAGCTTTAAGTTTCCTTTCTTTTCCTTTTCCTTTTTTTTTTGTTGCATCACTTGTTGTTTATACCTTATGATTAACAATTATAACTATGATTTATGACATGTCACTTTGTTGTTTATATGTACATTGAAAGCTTATGCACCAGAGACAAATTCCTTGTGTGTCCAATCACACTTGACCAATAAAGAATTCTATGATTTGAATGGTGAATTAATAATTTGTAAAAGTGGAAAAATGTTTTTCCTGATTATGCATTTATATTAGTTTAATTATATTGAATTTGATATTATTTCTATATTTTTGGAATTATCGAAAATACGAACATTTTAAAAAGGCACATTTCTTCTTAAACTGTTATAGTATGAAATTAATTATTCTTTGATGCTGCTTATTAAAAATGCCCGGGTTATTTCCCAAATATTGTGATTTGTTGTTTCTGGAGTATTATGTTGCCGTTGTTTTCATTCTTCACATAAAAATTTACCATAAATTACATTATATTGCACTAGGAATCTACACTAATTCTGCAAACCTCTAATTGGTAATCATAGTACTGGCCCATAAACATTATTCCTGATCTTAATTGTTCATATAATTTTAATAGTCTAATAAAAATACTTTCAGTTTATTTTTCAGATGGTTACTTGTTAATTGAAATAACAACAAACCAAAGATGTTTTGGGGTTTTTTAAATTGTCAATTATTAGGATGATGCATATTTGGAATAAAGAATTTTATGATAAACCCCGCATCAATACTGGTTACTATTCAAACAAATATTTGCATTAGTGGAATTTAATGAATCATTGATTTTATAATCATCTATAATATATATTGTTAGTTTCTCCCACTGAAAGAAAATTTACCAAAAGTTTAGAACTAAACATAGGAACAAGTAGAATTGAAAGGAGGAAATACTCAGTCATTGTGTTGGACACTGCACACTGCAACAGGAAGACAAAATAAAACCCAAAATAAAATATTTTTAATGACAATAAGAGAAATAAATTTACATTTTTATCACATATGCTGTCTTGGGAAAGACACAATGCATTCCCAAAAGAATTCCAGGGTCAGCTTGAATCAACCAATGCAAAATCTGAAACATTAATGTCTAGACTACAGCTTGTCTACTCCCGGAAAGAGAATCAGTGTGGTCAAATTCTTCTTCCTCTTCTTCTTCCTCCTCTTCTCCTTCTTCCTCCTCCTCTTCAGTAAAGTCAATAAATTCATACTCATCTCTTTCACCTGGAACGGAATACACAGCCACATAATAACTATAGTAAAAAAGAAAATTGCACCGTGTTTTAAATGCATGCTCATGTTTGAAGGGAGAAATGTTTTTGCATAACTTTAAATATCAATCATTTTTCCTTTACTTCTGATCAGGTATATGCCACATTACAGAAAATTTTGCTTTTGTTCCTGCCCATCCTGTAATCTAAACTAGACTGCAATAGTAAATGGAAGGTATACTGACACGTATATCTGCATTCATTCCTGCTCCATTTATCAAGGAATGTAAATTTCAGCTCATTTCTTACAAGAGGAAAATACGAATATAGAGTACAGTACAAATGTGCACAGGTCTCCAATATTAACACATGGGAAACACAAACATGTTCTAATTTTGGGAACAATTTAATGAAATGTCTGCTTATTTACTTGTATTTGCAAGTTAAAAGAGTTCTGTCCCTTTGTGGATCCTGCCATGTATAAAAAGTAAGCAAAGGGAACAATTACACCCAGAGGTTTGTACAGTGCAAACAAGCACTGATCATTCCAATGATCTTTTATGGAAAAGTTGCAAAATCATTTGAAGAAAAAACCCCAAATATTTGAAATAAAATTACAAAAACACATGCTGTTTCTTTAAAGCCTGTTTTAATAGATACAGAACAATGGATTAATGACAAAAAAATAAAGCCAGAAGAGAGAAAATTGGCTCAAGCCAGACCTGGCAATTTCTCTTATGAAGAACAAGTTGCTAACTGGTTGTGGTTCATAGGGCAATCTGGTGTTATCTAGATCAGCGGCCCCTTTTGAGCACCAGTTCGGTGGAGAGAGACTTTTCCATGGACCGAAGGGAATGTGGTTTTGCGTACTGCCTGAATTCCATAGATGGGGCTTTCCTTGTTTGTGTGGCTCAGTTTCTGGCATGCTGGGACCAGGTTGAGAACCCCTGGTCTAGATGCATTCGGGGACTACACATTTCAGTATGACCAATAACAGACTAAATGAGGGTTCTGGAAGCTTTTTCTCTGAGATTCCAGAGATGATTTTTCAACATGGGACCCAGCAAATGCATTGAGACTGCTTCTCCCAGAACCCTAACCTAGCCTGTTATTGGTCACACTGAAATGTGTCGTCCAAATGCATCTAAACAATACCAGATTGGAGAATGTTTCCCTACAAACCACAGCTAGTTAGCAGTTTGTTTTTTTACGGACAAATTGCCATATCTGGCTTGAGGCAGTTTTCTATGTTCTGGCTTTATTTTTATCATTAACCCATTGTTGTGGATCAATTAAAATAGGCTTCAAAGAAGCAGCATGTGTTTAAGAACAATTCAAACTAATGGTTTTAATTGAATTTTGCAGGGGCCGAACCTTTTTATGCAGCTTATGTCACATCCCCATTTTTACTATCTATCCATGTACTGCTCATAGTACATGCAATTCATAGTACATGCAATTCATAGTAATTGCAATTCAATTCATTCTTTGAATCTTTATACGGAAAACGATGAATCGCATTTTAAAACTTCCTCCACAACATGTGAATATTCATTGATTAAGAATTTTCAGAAAATGCTCTCCCTTGGTGATGATTTCAGCCAATTAAATGCATTGAACTGTTATGGCCTACTCCCTCCAAGAAATTTTACTTTAACATTCAGATAAATAGATAACTCATCATCGGGACAATATAACTCATGGCAAATGTCATCCTGTTTTCTGCAACTGCTTATTTACAGTCTTTTGATTCCCTTTCCCTCCTACAGAGTGATTTCAGTCACTTTCTCCAATCTCTGGGTTCTTATTCATTAAGCACTGAAAACAAAGTAAGAAAGAGGTTCTTACAAAGCCTCCCATTCTTGTTTAGTTCTTCCTCTATTGCAAGAAGTCGATTGTACTTGACTATCCTCTCTCCACGGGAAAGACCTCCCAGTTTGATGAATTTGGTTCCCAGTCCAACAGCCTAAGACAAATAAATTTCTTTTAAAAAAAACCCATAGCTGAAAACTTTGATAGTTTATTCTGAGTAACCTAATTTGGCGATTAAATTGAGGCTTTAATTACAGCCATATATATTTCAACCCTACATGAAAGCTCATAATTAAAGAGCTGAATTTGTAACTGCCAGTACCAATATTATTCTATGTGATCAATGTTTTGTTTAAAAATATATATTTCATATATTTTTATCTATTGCTTCCTTTTTCTCTCTACTGCACGTATGTGTGTGTGTTTTGTTCTTACTGTGTTTTTCCTTTCACAGTTTAATTGTATTAAAGGACTTTTTAAAAAAATTAATACAAGATTTGCATATTTGTTTCTTAAAGCAGCAAAAATTTCAGTTGAATTGTGAGCTGCAGTTTAATCCTTAAACTCATATACAGATAACTCTTAAATTGCAACATTACAGTAAATCTAATAAGTATAATGAATTAAAACCTGGCTTCTAGTAGATAATTTATCTGTTTCTTACACATAAGGAGAAGTTATCAACTAACTATCAGGAGGACACAGAACAAGGGGAGGAAAAAACAGTGTTGCAATTTAAAAGTCTGAATATTACTAGGCAGTCCAATTTTGAGGAGAAAATTGTTCAGATATTTCAAACAAAGCGGTCAGCATTGGTGTAGTAAGTTAGGAGAAGAGATAGGAAGCTGAAGCAGATGTAAAGGAATCCAAGATGATTACATTATTGAAAGGAAGGGGAGTAGGAGGGACCTGGGAGATTGCAGGAGTGAGAAGAAAATAAATGAAGGACTGGTGAAAGGAAATAGACACATTAAGTAAGTCATCATTTCAAGTGACATCCTCTATGTAATTATACTTTAATACAAAAAAAATCAACTGGAGTCCATTAAGACAAGGAAATAATGTTACTGCCCTATGTTTGAATAATTTACTCAACTTTTCCTTAAAAATGTCAGCAAGAGACACTACATATTTTCTGTTTGCTTCGCTTGCCTACTCTGCTGTTTTCCCCTTGAATGTTCAAAGATTACCTCGCTTTAAAAGGCAACTTTCTTCAAAAAGCCAATTTCCTCAAAGGTTATATGTCTCTTCACTAGATAACATTTCTCCTAGGAAGCAACTCAAGATAAAAAGCTTTGGGCAATTGAGGAATTTTTCATACATACCAGGTCTGCAAGGCTATCATCAGAAGATTCTCCATCTGGACTTCCTAAGATGGAAAGGTGCCTCCAACCTGTATTGAATGCAAGGGCTTTTAATTTCATAAAACATCTATAGTTTGCAAATCATTGTCTTAATTGTAAAATTACTGGAAAGTCTTATGGCATCTTCCAGAGTTAGTAATTTATTATAAATTTAAATTTTATGGACTAATAAAATAAACCCTAGTCCAGAAAAGTTTCAGTTTCATTAAATAGATAATTCCTTAAATACATTAAATTTATATTAGTTTTGCTGTAGCAAACTAATACAGCTGTCCTGGAAATACACAATTATTATTTAGCATTTTTTTTTATTTTATTGCAATCTAGTTTTGTTTTATTATGACTTATTTATAGTGTACAAAATCATCTGCCCACAGCCAAGCAGTGTTGAACGTTTATATCTATTTAAATTTATTTATTCTGCATTGGATTGTGGAAAAACTCTAGAAAAGCTAAAGTATTTGTATTTGTATTGTATTTGTAAAGTAATACTTGCTTTTAACAGTCCCCACAACTGTTATAGTAGAGATAATCAGATTAAAAGTATATTTAAAATAAACATAGTGAATCTTTTCCTATTGAATACAGATTTTTGTTTTCTTTAAATGAACAATTCTAGCTGATACAAATAAAAATCTGAATATTAACATTTTTAAATCTGTTACATTTTGAGGTCCATAAAGAATGATGAGAAATATGTGACACAAAGAGATACATAAAATTTTCTATAGCACTTAAAGCTGAATTATATCTAAACATTCAACTTATGTATTTTAAAATGAGTCCCGATACTGTCAATCCATAATGAAAGCAAATTTTGATGAGTAAGAATGTTTAATTATTAAATAGTTTACTAAACATAAAAAGCTCTATAGTTTTACAGCTACTATTGAATTTCGAAATAGAGTTCTTTCCTCACCATCTAATCGCTGGGTCATTTGTATAAGGTCCAAAATTTTAGCTTCATTGATATGTTTTATGACAAGGCCACTGCATTTTGGCATATTGCTTTTTT